GGTCTAATAGAGATCAAATCTCGATGGCAAAAAACGAGTTATGTAGTGTTTTTTTGTTAGACTCAATTTGGCTGATGATGATCTTGGAGAGATCTGATATTTCTCCTTTATGTCTTCGAATTATTTTTCAAATTAGCTTCTCTTCACATGATTTATATCGACATGGTTGAGGAAAAAAGTGGAGACTTGCAAGTTAGGATTATCTCAGATTAGGATTTTCGAAGGGGACAAAATGGTAGACAAGCAAGAAGGAAGGTGAGAGGTTAGTTTCTCGCATTTCCTTACTATTTTGTGTTTCTTCAATCGTTAATTTCAATGTTGATTTTTACAAATTTGAGTTTTTGTGTTACTAATCTTGTGAGGACTAAGATGGCTCCGGTTGGTTTTCGATCCGGTGATGCGATCTTCTCTAGCATTGATCGTGTGGTAAGTTTTTGATTTCAAAGAATCTCATTTTTATGGTTCTCTTGATTTGTCTTTTTTCGACTCTAATAAATAGAATTTGGAATTGACATGCTTCATTGGTGTCAAATCTGTTAGTGTAATTTTGTAAGGGTTTTGAGAAGTAAACTTGAAACCAATTCTGAATCTTGATTCAATTTCTGTTTGATGATCTCTTGGAATATGTAGAATGCGGAGTTTTTCACTTTGACGTACGGTGCAATTGTGCTTCAATTGCTTACTGTGAATTACATACCTCACATGAAGTGGTTCTTTCTCGTTAATTGTTACTAAAAACAGAAGAACTAAACTACTTATCATTATTCCTAATTAATTCATGATGGGTAGTGTCTCTGATGCCAATATGCCACATCGTTGTTTCATACACACTATATAAACTCACAGTTGCCTCTCTTTTGCACTCCCTTTGTGTTACCCCTAATGTTTTAGCTTTGATTTTTTGTTGTTCTCCTGCAGCCTTGCACTAACTCCCTCTGTTCAAATAGATTGTAAGTCGTGACTTATATTTATTTGTAACTTCTTTTGAGAAAATTGCAGATTCTAGAGTTGGTGAATAATTACGGATATTCGAGTACTTTAATTGTTTGATGAAAATGATTAAGATTGGTCAAGTTTTGATCGATACACTTTGCCGCTTTTTGACCCCAAAAAAAAATCACTTTCCCGCTTTTTGACCCCGAAAAGATAACACTTTGCGGCTATTTATGCGCTTAACCCTAGATCTGTCAGTTTCATTTAGAGAACAAAACTCACATCTTCTCCTAACTGCGGCTTTGTCTCCGACTTAGCTCCACTTGCCCATGCGTCTTCCGTCTGTCATTGACGGTAACTCAGTTCCTCCGATCTCTTTATAGTCTTAGATTTGAGGTTATGTAATAGTCTCAGATTTGATGCTGGGGTGTTCTATCAAACGTATTCTTGTGCTAACCGTGTGTTTTGATTTAATCTATTAATTAGATTCTTGTGCTAACGTGTTCCTGTGCTAACTATTATAGTTTACAATTAAAAAAAAAACTTAAGACTATCTAAAACAAAAGCACTTCTATGTTCTGTTTTGTACGCGTACAAAGAACATAGTACGAGATATTTACTAAGTCTGTGATCTATGCTCAAGCCAGAAAATCATTAACACCTCTA